CGGGGCGCAAGACATGCCCTTTCGGAACGCGCTGTGCGTTCCGAGCTAGTGCCCAGGGCGTGGGTGACGATGGTCGCCATGGGTCGACGGCCCAGCCATCGATCGCCCAGGGTCACCGATCATGTAAGCTATTATCCTATTATGGCTTTGCTGGTCACCCTAGGCGCGTGTTGCGCCCCGTCGATGGTTCGTCTGTTCATCCGAGGGCATGTGTCGGGAAGACGCATCGATTTCGAGGCGACAGTCGCGATGCTTGCCCGGCTCCCTCGTGACTCGGTGCGTATTTTGCTTTGCCGGTCAGTGTAGGCAAGCGTCGATTTTCCAATGGCGACGGTCGTGTAGAACCCATGCAGCATGTGAGATACTTCAAACACATGGCAGAGTCTGCGCCTGTCACAGTTCCGGATGTGGTGAATAAACAAGGGCATTTCACATTCTTGCTCCGCATTTTGCTTCCGCGAGCTGCCGTCAAAGCTGCGCGTGGTACTGCCTCGAAGCGCAGCTGAGTGAAGACGGCGCGTTCCGTCTCGCGTGGTCTTTCTGTTCCATTTCACCGATGTGCAGAAATCCCTACCATCGCTAAAAGGAGAACTTGTTCTGGAAAGGAGCTCCCTTCCTCTGCTAGAGAGGCCGAGTTCTACAGGGGGGCGCAGCCCCGAATGGTTTTCACATCGAGAGCATCACCACTTTCAGCCGCATTGAGAGCCCCGGAGCTTGAATACGAGGTTTGGAGCTTGTGGCTTGTGCGGGAAAACGGATCTGAAAAGCAGTGCCGCCGTAGGCGGCCGAGTGAGCGGCCGTGTAAGCCTTGGTTCGATGCGTTTCATTGTTGACGCAAGCTGCTGCTTCAACTTCATGGCGGGAAGATTCGTTGGGTGTGCCGACGCATGGGTAATATTCGGAGATTATGTCGGGGTGTTTAAATGTTGCTGGGGGCTCCAGTGGGGCCCTCTGTGCAGTAAGCGTGGCGCTCGGGAATTTGAAGGACATCGGAGACCCCGGCCGTGCTTTCAGTTGGGGAGCGGTGCGTTGATCAGATTTTAGTTTTTTTTGACCTGCGGGTCAGACCCCCTGTCTAGTGCTGCCTAATGGGCATTGGGCGAACCTGGTCGCCGACGGTGAAACTCCGCACGTGACGTTGGCAGTGAGAGGGGCGCTCGGTCAGTGGAGCTGCGCGGTCGCCCGGGGAGCCGTTGCTCTTGAGCGGAGGGGTAGCGTGATGCCAGGCGCCAGGGCGCTTCTGGATGACGTGGAGGCTGTGTGCGGCCCCCCATGCTGCTTCGTTCAGGCCCGCGCGACCGTGGGCGTGCTTGCGCGAGAGTTGATAGTCGCCCGCAGCTGCGAAGATGGCCGCTCATTTCAACCGGGCGGGTCATCGTCATTGGGAGTAGACTCTCCGGATGTCATCGTTTATTTTTGATTTTTCGCTTCATCGCCCGCGAGTGTGGTTGGGCATCTTGTGCGACTGGTGTTGTTGTTGACGCGCTATCCTCGCCGACTGAGTCGGGGGTGTTCGGGGCGGGGAATGCGAGCTGCTCCTGGGGGGCAGTCTCGGCCAATTAACCCTATGATGTTAAGCGTAGGTGCTTTGAGTCAACTCCCGCACTTGATGCCCCTGGCGCGGGTATAGATGCCGGCCCGGGCGGCGACGATCCAGTCGACGTTGCTGGGCCACCGGCTGGGCGAGAAGATGCAGGCGTTGAGATGGCGAGCGTGGGGCGTCTCCAAATGGACGCAGTCTCCGCCGTGCTTCTTTTCGCTCACCTCTCGAGTAAACGTGCAATCTGGCTGGGGCTCGGCGCGTGCAGCTGGAGAAGAGCCAGTGCAGAGGGCTCGAGGCCCTCGAGCCAGACTAACCCCCCTTGCATCTGATGCCTCGCCGCCGTGGATCCTTGGTTCGCGGCTGATGAGCTTTCGCTGGGGCTCCATGGGGGAACTGCGTGCGTGGCGTTTCGCGACTGGTTCTCGTATTCACTTGCTGCGCAGGGTGTACATGACCAGTCGGCTGTGCGCGTCTGCGTTTTTTGGGTAAGCCGTAAGGCCCCATGAGAGAAGTTTAAATCTTGTTTCACGGATGGTGCCCAGGATTTCGCAGTCGCATGCTGGGTGTTCATGATAGCACATGATGCTCCTACAACGGTTGCCGAGAGATCGAACGTTGTGTATCAGATGTGTACGCGCGCGTTGTTGGCGGCCGCTGGCCTCCCGCCTCCCGTAAGGACATGCGCCGTCAGGTATTGATGTCTCTGCCATGATGTGAGACCAGACAAGGAGGGGACATCCAACTGGCAAGTCCGATTTGGCAGGCCACCTCGCGTGGGACTTCCTCGCCACGTATTCAGACGCCGCGCCCTCGACGCTCATCTCGTAGTGGATTTCCTTGCGTTTTCATTGCGAATCGCGGTATCGCTCGAGACGTCTTCGCGGTTCATGCAGGACGCACGCTGCAGCAACCCGCCTGCTCGACCTGGCCGCCTGGCCCCGCTTTCCCGACCCGCCCGTCGCGGTCTGTCCGCCCGCTCTGCCCGTCCTCCTCCGTCCCCCTTGTCGTTTTCTTCCATCCGTCCTCTCTGCCCCTGCCTTTGGGGCTGCACGAGATACGTGTTGCAGGTAATACATGTATATACACACCCAAGGTGATACGATCGAAAACGAAAGGGGGCGGGTACCGAGGTTTTGGGATATATTTGTTGAATGGCATGCGAACATATCGGAGCGAACAGCCTTAACACGATTGTTGAGTTTTCATTCGTGAAAAATGATTATTGTTGATCTCCCCTCTGGGGCACGTGTTTTTCAATTGTAGTGCCGTTCCCGTGGCTTGCGCCCTGTTTAATACCGGGGAAATTCTTGGGTTTCAGAGTTGTGTTTTTGAGCCCGGTTTTGCAAGAAAAGCGGCTCCCGCTTGACATTTCCTCACAGTTTATCGAAGAATTGCGCCCTCGCGCGGGACGTCCTCACAATTTATAGAGAAATCGCGATCTCGCGTGGGCCCTCTTCGCCATTCATTCAGGCTCCGCGCCCTCGACACTCAAGAATTACGCTCTTACGGTGGATTTCTGGACGATTTCTTTGGCAATCGCGCTGTCGCTCGAGACTCCTTCGCAATTCATGATTAATCACGCTTCAGCAATCTGAGTTCTCGACCTGGCCGCTGGGGCCCGCCTTCTTGACCCGCCCGTTGGGATCCGCCCGCCAGATCAGCCCGTCTGGTTCTGCCACTTTTTTTTGCTCCTGGTCCCCCTCGTGCTACTCTCTGTCGTGCTCCATCCTCCTCCCACCCCCTTGTCCCTTCCTTCCATCCGTCCTCGCTTCCCCTGGCTTCGGGGCTGCGTGAAATACACGTTTCAGGTAAGAAAGATCTATACCCCCAAGGTGGTACGATCGAAAACGAAGAGGGTGGGTACCAAAGGTTTGGGATGTACATGTTGAGTGGTACGCGATAGGATCAGACCGGACAGCCTTAACATGATTATTGACTTTCGTTCTTGGGTACTGATTATTGTTGATCCCCCCCTCCAGGGCACATTCTTTTTTTGAGTTGAAGTGCCCTTTTCCAGGGCTCGAACCCCCTATTTTTTAACAGGGTAATCTGTCTTGAGCCCGCAGTTTAAAAGAACAGCGTTTCCCGCCTGATACTTCCTTACAATTTATTGGAGAATCGCGCTCTCGCGCGGGACGTCCTTACAGTTCATACAGGAATCGCGCTCTCGCATGGGACTTCTTCGCCATCTGTTCAGACGCCGCGCCATCGACATTCAGGAATCACGCTCTTGCGGTGGATTTCCTGACGGTTGATTTTGGGAATCACGCTATCGCTCGAGATTTCTTCGCGATTTGTATTCTAATCACGCTTCAGCAACCTGCGTGCTCGACCTGGCCGCTTGGGCCCGCCTTCCCGACCCTCCCGGTGGGGTCTGTCCGACAGATGTGCCCGTCTGGTTCTGCCACGTCTTTTCTGCTCTTGGCCCCCCTCCTGCGACTCTCTGTTGTGCTCCATCCTCCTCCCACCTCCTTATTCTTCCTTCCTTCCATCCGTCCTCGCTTTCCCTATCTTCGGGGCTGCACGAAATACACGTTGCAGGCAATATACATATATATATATATATGTATACACATGTATGGGTTTGTATGTATGTGTGTATGTATGTATGCATGCATGCATGCATGCATGCCTGTGTGTATGTATGTATGTATGTATGTATGGATGGATGGATGGATGTATGTATGTAGTCATGTATGTGTGAATGTATGTATGAATGTTTGTATGCATGTATGTATGTATGTGCGTGTGTGTATGTATGTATGTATGTATGTATGTATGTATGTACGTATGTACGTACGTACGTACGTACGTACGTATGTATGTATGTATGCATGCATGTATGTGTGTATGTATGTATGTATGGATGTATCTATGTATGTCTGTCTGTCTGTCTGTCTGTCTGTCTGTATGTATGTATGTATGTATGTATGTATGTATGTATATATGTATATGTGTGTATATATATATGTATATATATTTCCCCCAGGGGGTAAATACGACGAGTGCGGGTATTTCGGGTTTGGGATACACGTTGAACGGCCAGCGAGCAGATAAGGGCGAACAGTCTTCAACTGGTTGTTGTTATTGTTGCTGCTGCTGTTGTTGTTGTTGCTGTTGTTGTTGTCGCTGTTCTTGTTGTTGTTGCTGCTGTTGTTGTAGATGCTGCTGCTGCTGCTGTTGTTGCTGTTGTTGTTGTTGTTGCTGTTGCTGCTGCTGCTGTTGTGGTTGTTGTTCTTCTTGTTGTTCTTGTTGTTGTTGTTGTTGTTGTTGTTGTTGTTGTTGTTGTGTTTGTTGTTGTCGTTGTCGTTGTTGTGGTGGTGGTGGTGATGCTTCTGGTGGTGGTGGTTTTGATGGTGGTGGTGGTTGTTGTTGGTGGTGTTGTGGATGATTGTCCGTGGAGCCCTCGTCGAGACGCCCGTGCCGAGACGAGCCCCGGCCCGCCCCCCGGGCGCAGGGACACGCCGCTGGCACCTGCAAGAGGTGCTGCTTCTTCCCCCGCGGCCGCTGCACCAACGGGTGCCGCGCGCCTCCCGCCGCCGACCCTCCGAGCTCGGGGCCTCCGCCGGCTGCCGGGCGCGTGCGATGGGGGCGAGGGGGAGGGTGGTCAGGGGCAGTGTTCGAGCAGGGGATCGGCTACAGAATTGAGTTGCCCCAGACTTGATTTCTCTCGTCGAATCCACGGGAGTTTCCCAGAACTCCCGCAGATCTGCGAACATTCTACGCATGTTTGTTGAAGATTCGACGTGGAAATTAATTTTGAGGTAAATCATTTCTGTCGTCGATCCTCCAGTCGAACTGTCGCCGTAGCTTCTCCTCTTTTGTGGTCGCACCTCGGCCGGGGGGGGAGGCTATTTCTCAAGCTTCCTGCCTTCCACGCGCGCCAGGGATTTTTTCGTTCTTTTTCCCCGCACGTGCAGGGACACGGATCACGTCATGGGCGCATGTTGGGCGTGACGCGTCGGTCAAGTGGCCCCATGCCCGATGCTGCACAGCGCGGCGGCGGGCCTTCCTCGCTGGCCTTCTCGGCACGGCCCTCTCCAGGAGGCCTGTCTGCTGGCCCCGCCTGCGGAGGTACGAGTGTGAGTTCTGCCACTACGACCACGAGAAGCGGAAGAGGAAGAACAAGAAGAAAAAGAAGAAGGACCGCCCGGTTTTGGTCGGCCACGCGCAGAGGGGGGTAGTGGGAGGGGGGAAGCCTTCTAGGAAGGGGGCTGCTTCTTAGAAGGTGCGGGCCTTGTCTGGAGGTGTAAGGCCCGCACCTTCTAAGAAGCAGCCTCCTTCTAAGAAGGCTTCCCCCCTCCCCCTACCCCCCCTCTGCACGCCGCCAATTTGGTGTGCTGCGGCCTGGAAGGGTGAGTGCTGTTGCCACGGTGAACTCAGGCTCGTTTTTGCAGCGATTGCAGACGTGCTTTGGCTTCCCGCGCGGTCCTCTTGTTTTCTTCTGTCTTCTCTTGTGCAAGGAGGGTGGAAATTCACGAGGAGGAGGAGGATGAGGAGGAGGAGGAGGAGTAACAGCGCACAGCATTGATGTTTTCATGTGCCCTCCCGTCCCATGCATCTTCCTTTCATGGTTCTCCAGTTGCGCTGCCGCCCACATTCGCTGCCGCGCTACGGAAGGGTGGCCAGGGGTGGGGGTCGGAGGGCGGGCTGGACTCGGGAGGCTGGCGGTCCGTCCTCCTCAGGACTTTGCTTTCGGTATTGCTTCCTTGAGGAGTCGACGCAGTTATGGTGCAACTGCGAAGATGCTTACACGCCAGTCGTTGAAAGTATTTATGTTTGGATCCCCTGATCCCACTCTACTTTAGGTGCCTTCCTACTTCAAGAGTCGAATTGTTTCCCTCCTTCCCTCCTCTTCAGGGGGCGGGCGGAAGCCCAATCGATGTACTTTCACCGCCTTCCTACTTCATGTTTCTACCCACTTCTCTCGACCGACGGGTATGTGCATCACACGTAGCGCTCACCCGTTTCGTTCCGTTTTTCGTCGGCTTCGCACCTGCTTCCGGCCTTCTTGGAGACCAGCGCGTTTGGCGCGCCTGCTGGGCGGACGGCAGACTCCGCTCCCGTTCGCTCTTGAGGAGTCCAGAGGCCCTGGGGGGGCGATAAATGGGGGGTGGGATCGAGGGTTTCAGGAATGGGGCCCCGAAGAGGCCCGAAGAGGGCCCCCCACTGGGGCTCCGAAGGTGCACGAGATGTGCACCTTCATTCGCCCCCCGCTTACTGCCCCCCCCCCTTACGCACCGCCCGAGAGGGCCCTGACTGGGTGCTCCAAGAGAGGCGGCGCCGCGGGCAAAAGCAGCGGGCCCGAGACGCGCCGGCCGCGGCACGGCGTTAGAGGTCCTTCTCACCACAGCAGTCGCGCTCTGCAGAGGTGTCGGCGTGCTGTACCTGTATCGCGGGCGGCACAGGGGCGGGAGGTGATGACTATGACGGGCGTGTTTTCCACCACCACCACCATAAGTTGGAGGGGGAGGGGGTCCTCCTCCACCTCCTCCTCCTCCTCCTCCTCCTCCTCCTCCTCCTCCTCCTCCTCCTCCTCCTCCTCCCCCTCCTCCTTCTCCCCTCCGTCCTCCTCCTCCTCCTTCCCCCCTCCAACGTGTGGTGGTGGTAGTGGTGCAAAACAGGCCCATCAGAATGGGGGGGGGGGGGATATCATGGTCGGGGCGTGCGGCCAGCCGTGGGCGGATGCTGGTCGGATGACGCCAGTTGTGCACATCCTGTTGGGGGGCGGCCAAGAAGGGTCTGATGGCTGGGGGTGGGGGGTGAATATCATGGCCAGGGCGATATCTCCCCCGATTCCATGGCCCCCTCTTCTCCTTTCAGACCCCTCCCCTGCACCCCCCACGCCTCGTCCGCGCACATCCCGCCAGCTATTGCTTGCGAATCCTCTTCTTGGATGCGCACCTATTGGACGCCCCGGCTACAGCCAGCACTGTGTAGAGCATTCTGGGAGGAGTGTTCGCGGCGCAGAGGCGGGAGCGCGATCTGGCAAACCAGCCACGTCTTATCCGTGCTCCAACGCCAGCCGCTTAGCTTTGGATTTGCTAGCATCTACTTGGAAGTCCCAAACGAGAACACGACTTCGAACGTCGGCCGCCCTTCATGTGTATCTCGCTGAGATTTTCAGAATAACTGTTATGTGCTGTGGGAAGCTCTCAACCAGAGTTCTGTTTTGAACATGTTCAGCCCTCCATTCTAATTGTTATAATCACTTCGCTCACTCCTGTGGCCCATATTGCCTCGCCGCTTGGGGGCCGTGTTGGCGCCTCTTGGGGGCCTATGGGAGGCAGTTTTGATGCCTCCCGGAGGCCGTGTTGGGGCCTCTTGGGGCCTCTTGAGGGCCTCTTGTGGCCTCTTGGGGTGCCTCTTGAGGGCCCCTTGGGGCCTTTTGAGTGGCGTCTTGGGGCCTCCTGGGGGCCTCTTGGGGCTGAAGGCTGGACTTTTCGCTTCTTGGTCCCCGTCTTGGGTCTCTCTTGGGGCGGTTTTGGCGCCATCTTGGGCCATCTCGGGCGCCTCTTGAGCTGTCTTGGGGCCATCTTGGGCTGTCTTGGGGCCCTCTTGGGCCATCTTGGGGCCATCTTGGGCCGTCTTGGGGCGGTCTTGGGGGCCTCTTGGGCCGTCTCGGAGCGTTGGGAAGCTAAAAAGATGAGAAACGTCGTGCATGCGAGAACAAATACGTTTTCCGAAGGGAATGGGGCGATTTTTGCTTGTTTGGGCCCTCTTGAGGCGCTTCTTCGAGGCCTCTTTGGGCGTCTTGGGAGCGTCTGCGGCCGTCTGGAGGTTATCTTGGGCGTCTTGGACCGATCGGTCGGCGACTCGGAGCCCTCTTGGACCGTCTTTGGGACTCTTGGGGCCCTCTAGCAGCGCTCTGGGGCGCCTGAAAGCCACGCCTAGAAGGCATAACCATCTCTGGGTCGGACTGGCTGGGGTACTTTTCGTCCGGGGGTCCCCAGGGGCCGCCACGCGCGCGCGAACTAGAAACATGGTTTACACTTTACTGGAGATCTTAACACGCCTCTGGCCCGTTGGGCCAGCGACTTCGTTGGAGATTTGGATGTTCGGGTTCGTAGTTCGTGAGGACCTCTTGGGCGGGATTGAATACGTGAAACCATCCATTCGTGTAGCGAGGAAGTCTGACGCGAGAGTGCGATTACGAAACTGGACTGCCTTCCATCCGTTTAACTTGAAGGAGTTTCTGTGAACCTTGCGTCATCCTGACCCCTGGCGCGCGAGAAAGTCGCCACCCAGCGGACCCCTAAGGACCATTTCCGGGGATGCACAGGGCGCGCTGGGTGCACGGGGCGTGTTCGAATCTGGCGCTCTCGCTCGAGACATCCTTGCAAAAATCGTCCCACGGCCCCCCAGTGCGCCCCCAGGGACCATTTCCGAGGATGCACCGGGCGAGCCGGGCGCACCAGGCGTGTCCGACTTGGCGGTCTCGCTCGAGACATCCTCGCGAAAATCGCCTCACGACGCTCTCGCTCGAGACATCTAGGCAAAATCGCCCCGTGGGCCCCACGCGCGCTTCAGGTATTTTTTCCAGGGTTACACCGGGCGCACTGGGCGCACCAGGCGTGTCACAATCTGGTGGTCTCGCTTGAGACATCCTCGCAAAAATTTCCCCTGGGCCCCCAGCGCGCTCCCAGGCTCCACGGGCCCCTGGCGCACATCTTGAGACCATCTCCGGGGATGCACCGGGCGCGCCGGGCGTGTTCCAATCCAGCGCCCTCGTTGGAGACATCCTCGCAAAAATCGCCACAAGGGTTCCCAGCGCACCCCGAGGGACCATTTCTGAGGATGCACCAGGCGCGCCGGGCGCACCCGGCGTGCCCCAATCCGTTGCTCTCGTTGAAGACATCCTCGCAAAAATCGCCACGGGCCCCCCAGCGCAGCGCACGGGCGAACGGGGCGTGTCCCAATCCGGCGCTCTTGCTCGAGACATCCTTGCAAAAATCGTCCCACGGGCTCCCAGCGCGACCCCAGGGACCATTTCTGTGGATGCACCAGGCGCGCCGGGCGCACCGGGCGCAATCTGGCGGTCTCGCTCGAGACATCCTCGCGAGAATCCGCCCACGGGTTCCTGCCGCGCCCCCAAGAAGAAGGAGGTGAGAAATGAGAAGCAGGAAGAGGAGGGGAGGAAGAGGAGGGAAAGGAGGAGGAGAAGGAGGACCAGTGTATAAACCCAAGAGGCATCAACGATGTTGGAATAAACCCTCCCTCCAAACTCCCTTTTCATAGGCCCCTATAACGGTTCATTTTTACAAAGGGAACTGCCTCGTTGGAAGACAGCTGTTTGAAGACCCTGAAGCATGCCAAAACATTGTTCTCCGGATTCCAACGCCACGAATCAACCTGAGTGTTGCGTTTTGACGATCCTGAATCGTGCCAGACCGCCATTCTTGGGACTTGACCGCGAATCAACATAACTGATGCACCCTCATAAGCCTGAGTCCTTCCAAAACACCATTCCTGGTACGTTAATCATGAGAATCCGTGAGAATCTTGCAGATGTTTAATACGAGTGTGCGTGGCGCTAAGGCGAGAACAACATCTTGAAAAGGAACCGCCATCAATCCGTGAAACTCTTGCATTTCTTTCAGACGAATATGCGCGGCGCTTAGGCGAGAGCCACATTTTGAAAACGACTCGCCCTCAATCCGTGAAGCTCTTGTAATTTTTTAAGACGAATGTGCGCGGCGCTAAGGCGAGAGCCACAATTTGAAAAGGAGTCGTTCTTAATTCGTGAAGCTCTTGCACATGTTGATAAAACGAATGTGCGTGGTGCTAAGGCGAGAGCCACATCATGAAAACGACTTGCCCTTAATCCGTGCAGCTCTTGCACATTTTTCAAGACGAATGTGCGCGGCGCTAAGGCGAGAGCCGCATTTTGAAAACGACTCGCCCTCAATCCGTGAAGCTCGTGCATTTTTTTAAGACGAATGTGCGCGGCGCTAAGGCGAGAGACACATTTTGACAACGACCCGCCCTCTATCTGCGAAGCTGTTGAGCTTCAGATTCATAGATGGTGAGGAAGGTTCAGGGGAAGCGTCCGGCCCGCCCTAAAAAGCTGGCCTCGCAGGGAGAAGTTATCTATGAGGAGAGGGAATGGAGGAGGAGGAGGAGGAGGAGGAGGAGGAGGAGGAGGAGGAGGAGGAGGAGGAGGAGGAGGAGGAGGAGGAGGAGGAGGAGGAGGAGGAGGAGGTGTGGCAGCGTCCGAACGACCCACATGCCCTCAGTCCCCAGTCCCCAGGAGGAGGAGGACGAGGCGGAGGAGAGCCTCGCGCCGCCCACCTTCCCCCATCCCTCAACCAGATCCATCGTCCCTCATCCTCCCACATCGTGCGTCATACTCTTCCCTCCTCCCTCCCCTCCTCCTCCATCCATCCTCATCGCCCTCTGTCTCTTCCTCCATCCCTCCTCCTCTGCCTCCATCCTCCTCCCACCCGTGTTTCCCATCCTCTTTCTCGTCGACCCCTCCTCGTCACGACTTTCTCGTCCTTCTCCTTCTCATGGTACTGCCGGATGTGTCGGCAGGGCGCTCATTTGCCACCTCTGATCACTAGCCGGCCGCCCTGCCGTTGATCTGGAGTTTCTGCATATAGAAGAAGGAGGGCGCGCTTGTGGGCGAGAGGGGGCTTGAGCGGGAAGCATTGGGTGCGGCGGGTGAGGATGAGACGGGTGAGGATCAGGAGGGCGAGGCTCGCGAGGGGGAGGATCAGGAGAGTGGGGGTCACGCGGGTGAGGATCGGGCGAGCGTGGAGCAGGAAAGGGAGGATGTGGAGAATGAGGGTCAGGAGAGCGAGGGTGCGGAGAAAGACGGTCAGCAGGGTGAGGATCAAGCGAGTATAGAGGTGTAGAGCAGGAAAGGAAGGATCGGCAGAGTGAGGATCGGCAGAGAGAGCATCACGAGGAGAGCGAGGATCAGGATCCCAGAAGGCAGGGCCGCCCCGGGTCTGCACGTACGGTGATGCAGCTCCGGCTCAGAGCGGAGTTGACGGTTGAGCATCCCGCGTCCGAGGGGCCCGAGTGTCCCGGTCCCGCAGCTGCTGCCTCGCCGAGTGCGCCCTCGGGCGGTGTCGTTCTGGGGCGCACTTGCATGGAACCCAAGCCAGCTGAAGGACTGCCCCCCTCGGAGAGAGAGAGGGGCAGGACACGGCGCCGCCCGCGTGAGTGACTGGTCGCGGTTTGTCAGGTTCCCGGGAAGCCGCCAGGAGCCGGTCGGAGCGTCTTTCTGAAGGTCTGCCCCCCCCTTGGAGTGTGGGGCAGGGCGCGGCACCGCCCGCGTAAGTGACTGGTCACGTGGGTCCCAAGGTCGTCGGTGTTGGTGTTAACTCCCACCGATGATGTTGGGCCCCTGTGATCGATGCTGCGTGGACGGCTCTTTATTGAATCCTTCTAGTTGAATCCGCTCCCCCTCCCTTCTTCCTCCCCCTTCCCCTCCTCCTCCTCCACCTCCTCCTCCTCCTCCTCCTCATTCCTTCTCTTCTCTTCTCTGCTCTGCTCTGCTCTGCTCTGCTCTTCCCTTCCCTTCCCTTCCCTTCCCTTCCCTTACCTTCTCATCCCTTCTCCTCCTCTTCTTCCTCCTCCTTGTCCTCATCCTCCTCCGTTTCCTCCTCCTCGTGCTCCCCTTCCTCCGCCTCCTCCTCCTCGTCCTCGTCCTCCTCCTCCTCGTCCTCGTCCTCGTCCTCCTCCTCCTCCTCCTCCTCCTCCTCCTCCTCCTCCTCCTCCTCCCCCTCCTCCTTCCCTACCCCTTTCCGTCCACAATTTTTCAACATGAAAGCTACCCTCCTCTCTCCCCTGATGACGTCCTGAAGATGTTCGGCCCCCTCCGCGTATTGTGTTTTACAGAATTCCCGGGATTGGTTGTTAGAAACGAAATTCTTGCTTCCGCTGAAACGATTGCCTCATTTTCGGGCTTCCGCTCGTTCCGAATCGTGCTTCCGCTGCAGCGCTCGCCTCATTTCCGCGCTTCCGCCCGTTACGAATCGTGCTCCCGCTGCAGCGCTGGCGTCATTCCTTCCAGTGCCATGCCACGGCGTGCAATGCAATGCAATGCTATGTGGTGTTCCGCTGTGCGATGCCGTGCCTTCAGCTGAAATGCTAGATATGCAGTGCTTGACTACGCAGCGCCACGCCATGCTCTGCCATGCTACGCTTTGACTGTCAGCGCGGGCGTTTGCGGTCCTTCTAAATCGGTTCCCAAATCTAGAAAATGCCCCCCCGAAAAAACCGTCGGAAGTAATTCCACATTCGGTGTCGGTTCGTTGGGTTTTGGGCCGCAGAACCCCCGTCGTTTTCAGGAAGTATTCAGCGGGAACTCCGTTTCTGCTTTGAGAAGGCGATGTTGAAAGCACAGCCATCGGGTGCTCTCCATCAGCCCCGCCTTGTGTGGAGCTTTTTGGGGAGCCCAAGGAGCTAGACATGAAGCCACCACTCCAAACCGGCCCTGGCCTCTCGAAGACGATCCACCTGCCCTCCAAGGAACCCGGCGCCATGCAATGACACGTTGTGCGATGTTGTGTTTTGCACTGCTGTGCGATGCCGTGCTTTGCGTTGCAATGCTGTGTGATGCAATGCTTCACTGCGCAATGCCACGCCATGCTATGGCATGCTACGTTCTGCCGTGCTCGTCTACGCTTTGCCATGCCGTGCTCTACCATGCATCGCGCACCCTCTAGCGATCATTGCCATTGCCCTGCTCGACCTCCGACTGTGCGAATGGAGAGGATATTTGCGCCAAGGTAAGGGATGGGGGTGAGGGGTGGGATGTCAGATATGAGGCGAGCGCACCCAGCTTGTCCTCTCCTCTCCCCCCCTCCTCTGTGGCGCCGCCAACTCCCTTTCGTTTGTGGCGCCGCCAACTCCTCTCGCTGCCCTCCCGGCCGAGGACTCTGCCGCGGCCGCGCCTTTGGGCCTGCCGCAGGGCGGCCAGAGGCGCCCTGCCTCCCGGCCTGCTCTGGATCGTCAGCAGCCGTGGGGGCGAGCGGGAGGAGGGGGGGGGGGAAAGGGGGAGGAAGACGGGCAGGAACAGGAGCAGGAACGGGAGCAGGTTGAGGAGGAGGAGGAGGAGGAGGAGGAGGAGGAGGAGGAGGAGGAGGAGGAGGAGGAGGTGAGTGGGGGGAGCCTCTCCCCCCCTTGTGCGATGCGCGCCGTCCTTGGCAGATCGCCGTGGCAAGCGCGCGAGTCAAGCGCGTTGCCGCTTCGCGCAGCTGCATCACAAGGTGGGGGAAGGGCGATCCACCGTGGAACGCCTATGAGGCCCACGCTGTTTCCAGTGTCTTGCAGCCTGTCGTGTCATTCGGACGTATTGCAGCGACAGGTGCGGTTACGGAGGCAGCTGTAGCAGGCAGGGGCGCCGCCTGGTTGTGCAACGGCCAATGGGCAAAGTTTCTCGCGAAGAGATGCAATGGGTCACCCGCGCATCCCCCGCGTTTCGCCCTCGAGGGCTTCGCAAAGCTGCCATCTGGCAGGGGCGTGCCGCACTCCTCCAGAGCAGTGGAATGCCCGTGTGGCCTGTGCAAAGCTGTCGCCGCCACTTTCACGACGGCCCCGCGGAAGGCCACGGAGCAGTTGCTCGCCTGGATCAGCGAGCGTGGTGTCGGAGATCCAACAGGCTCGCCTTCAGGAAGGCCGTGCTCGAGCATGCAAATATGCTTTCGATCGGGGGCGCGAGGATTCTCTTTCGGGCGATCGGTCGCCCGCTAGGGTGTACCGTGACTGGCGAGAAGTTGGCGCTGAGTGAGGCCCTCGATGATTTCATGCTGTAGAGATTGTTCGTGACGCATGCTGCTCGACGCGCTCGGTTCCGAAGGGTGCCCTGGCGCGGGGCAAGACGTGGCCGCGACAGCGCGCCGAGAGGTATGGGGTTCCGCTCTGGCCTTCGCCCCGAGGAGGCCGCGGATGTGTCCGCGGGGCTTCGGTTACGTTCCGTCTGGCTGCTGGTGGCCGCGGCAGGCGGTCCAGACACCTCGCTGCCGTCGTGGGCGAGAGGGGAGACGCTGGTGGGGATCGGGCAGGCGATCCCGCCTTGCGGCATCTGCTCGGTCGCCGAAGGTGGCGGCAGCACGGGCGCTTGCGGCGCCCGACACTGCGCCGAGGAGGCGTGGCGCGAGGCTGGTCTCGGCAATCGTGCGTCTTGCGACGATCGCCAGGTGAATGTGTGCCAGTTTTTGAAGGAAGAGCACCAGTAGGGGGGTACCTCTAGCGGGATGATCCGCGAGCTCGCTTGGAACGACAGTGCGGTCCGCTTGTGCTCTCGTGCATCGCGATCCTCGCGGCGCTCAAGAGCGCGCGCTGAAAGTGTCTCTCGATTGGCGACCTGCGACGCAGTGGTGTCAACCAGCGCGCCTGGATTCCAGAGAGGGGGTGTTGCGTAGGCCTTGTGGCGCCATCGATTTTTTACTTCACGTCGCCCGCGGCTCCCCCACCGATGGGAGGCGCAGATCCTCGTGCTCGATTTCACCGTTGCTTCTACGCAAGCCGAGTCCATCTGTCAGGGCGACGACTCCTCGCAGGTGCGGCATCGGCCTGTGAGGACCTCCTTCGCGCACCGGGGCTCACCGTGGACTGGTTCTACTCCCCCCCCGAGGTCGACGACTGGCTGGGCGCTTCAGCGCCAGCGGAGGGCGGCGCCCGGGTGAAATTCCCAGACGCCCCAACTTGGGACGCAGAGGATTACAGGGAGGCGGGGGAAGTGTACCGCCTCTCGGCGATCGCGGACAGGATCCCGCCAAGGAGGCCCCCGGTGCCCGCGCCCCAGCGGCGGGCCACCTTCACGCAGGGGGCCCCCGCTGCTCCAGCGGGTCGGGCGCGAGGGGCTCGGGGGGGCCGTGGCCCAGGGAAGGCTTGCAGAGGCCTGCCTTCCAACTCTGTGCAACCGGGGCGGCGCGCATCGCCCGCGTTGAAAGTGGGGCCCCCCTCCTTGGGGCCATCGTGACGTGGCTCCCCCCTTCGGTGCCGCAGGGCGCGCGCGCCCCCTGCCTCTGGATTTTTCTGCGTCTACCTGCGGGTGGCCCTTTGCAGTTGGCCCCCCCCCCCCTGCGCGAGGTTGGGGTTTTCTTGTGGAGGTGGTGCCTCCTGGCGGTTTGAGGTGGGCGGCTGGCAGGAGGCTGAACCCTTGCTTTTCGCCGCGCAGGATCAAAAGGTGCCCCCCTCCCTCCTCATTCGTGATCGCGCGAGGTTCTCGGGAGTCTGTTTTTGTTTGGGGTTCCCTGAAAGGGATGGGTTCCCCTTCCGAGCGCGGTCTGCGCGCCATCTCTTGCAGGCTAATCGGTGCTGTCGCATTTGCTTCACTTTGCTTCGCTGTGTGTGATTCTGTTGTTGTTGAGTCCGAGCTCCGCTACGACATGATCGACGCAGCACTACGCAGCACCTACGCAGCACCCACGCCAGCACCTACGCAGCACTACGCCAGCACTTGTCATTTCGTGTGTCATTTCTTGTGTGGAGTCGGAGCCGCCCAGCAGCGTGAGCAAGTGTATTATATTCAGAGCGCTACGCGCGTCCTGGCGTCCTTGTCGGGCGAGTCATAAGCTGGGGCAACTCTGCACTTCTATATTCCGCACGCTGCGCGTGACAAGGCTATCGCTTGCAGACATTATGGCCGTTGACGCCTCTCGCTTTCACTGTGTGAATTTCTGTTGTTGTTGAGTTCGTGCGCCGCTTCGACAAGACCGACGCAGCACCTACGCAGCACCTGCGCCGCACCTACGCAGCACCACGCCAGCACTTGATATTTCATTTAATGTGCCCGTGCCGCTTATATGATCGAAAGTGATATCCTGAGCGCTTCGCGCGACCTGAAGTTCTTTCGATATGTGTACCTGGGTGCATGTATATACCACACGCTACGCGTGACCTGGCAATGGGCACCCATCGGTTAGCTGTGGCAATAAGAGGTTCTGCTCACAGCTGATTCGATGTCTCATTCTTTCTGTGCGATCAGGTGTTGTTGTTGTTGAGTTCGTGCTCTGTTACGACATGATCGACGCAGCACTACGCAGCACCTACGCAGCACCTGCGCAGCGCCTACGCCAGCACCCTCCGAATATATCCACCACGCTACGCGTGCCCTGGCGACCGAGGGTCTGGCTATGGAGCCTTGTGAGTGAGACCAGGCCTGCCTGTGTGAATCTGTGCTCGTTGCGGGCGAGCTGTCAGTGGCCGCCGTCTTTATTCAACACGCTTCGCGTGGCACAACGGCTGTGGCGCTCGCTCGCTGGCAACGTGTGTGGCCCACGCTACCACAGCGTGTGGCACCAGATGCTTGTTGTGTTCGCGTCGCCAGACTCGGCCGACGCAGCAAAGATATCTGCTGGCGTGGCTGCGACGCGGGCCACCTGGCCCGACTCGGACACGAAGGTCTGGGTCTGCGGTCCGCGGGTCGCCTATTGCAGGTTGCCCGCGCCCGCCGTCGCCGCCCTGCCCCCCCCCCCGCTCCTGCCCCTCCCCTCCCTAGGTCGTTGACCTGCAGGAAACCCCCTGGGAACAAATCCCCTCCGCGGCCATCTGGGCTGGAGCTGGAGAGTTTTTTCCTCCCTCCCGCCCTGCATCTGTTTGCCCGCCACTGAGCGTGCGGGCGGCTGGCTGGAGGCTGAACCCCTGCCTTTCGCCACGCAGGATGAAAGGTGCCCCCCTCCTTCCTCCCTTGTGATCGTGCGAGGTTTTCAAAATCAACGATTTTGGCCTCTTTGGGCCCTCTTGGGAGGTCTTTTCGAAGTCTCTTAGGGCGTCTTGCAGGCATCCTGGACCATCTGGGGCACCGTGCGAATTTCTGGAGCAAGGTGCCCCAAAGACCTGTCGGGAAAGACCTCCCCTTCCAAATCGACGGGGCCGGGCTCCCGGGGGAGGTGTTTTGGGGGGAGCATTTCGCGCGCCGATGAACCTCGAGGGATCGGCATTTGTTTTTGTTTCTCCCCTCTTCTGTTGTAAGCTTTTGTAGTGGGCGTGGTGCTGGTGATGGTGATTGTGATGGTGGTGGTGATAACTAGTGCTTTTTTTGTGCAAATCAGGATAGTGATGGTGATGGTGATGGTGATGGTGATGGTGATGGTGATGGTGATGGTGATGGTGATGGTGACGGTGGTGACGGTGATGCTGAGGATGTTGATGCTGATGCTGATGCTCATGATGCGGATAAACGCGCTGATTGTAATGACGATGATGGTGATGTTGAGGTTGATGTTGATGATGGTGTTGATGATGATGATGGCGGTGATGGTGGTGATGCTTGATGATGATGGCGACGGTGATGATGCTGCTGATGATGATGCTGCTGCTGGTATGCTGATGTGGATGATGCTGATGCTGATGATGATGGTGCTGGTGCTGCTGGTATTGCTGATGAGGCTGCTGCTGATGATGCTGATGACGGTGATGATGATTATGATGCTGATAGTGCTGTCGATGATGGTGATGATGCTGGTGTTGCTCATGATGATGGTGATGGTGGATGATGACGATGTTGATGGTATTGTTGATTATTGTGGCGATGCTGATAATGATGATACTGATGGTGATTCTGATGATGATGTATAGGATGGTGGTGCTGATTGTCATGATGATGATGACAATTCTGTTTGTCAAGCTGATGATTCCGATACTGGTGCTGCTGATGATGACATTGCCGCTGATGTTGATGATGCTGTAGTCGTTAATGATGGTAATTCTGATGTTCATGATGAAGCTGATTCAGCCGATGATGGTGATGATGGTGATGATGGTGATGTTGAGGTGGGTGATGAGGATGATGATGCGTAACTGCGAACGCTGATGGTAATGCCGACTGAGACGATGGTGCTGGCGAGGGGTAGGAGGAGCGGGGAGGAGTGCGGAGGACGAGGCTTGAGGAGGAGAAGGAGGAGGACGAGGAGGAGGAGGAGGAGCGGGGAGCAGGGGTAGAAGGAGACGGGGCATGAGCGGGAAGAACGGGGACGGAAGAGGACACTAAACTGCTTCCGTGTCCAGGACGGTCCACGGTACGATCGGTTCGATGGTGCGTGTCGATGTGTGCGCGTGACATCGGTCGCTTTGGCGAAGGCAGACCAATCCCTTTTTGCTGCTTGTATGCTTCCGCCTCTTCCCCCTCCTGGGAACCCGTCCAGTGACGAAGGGGCCGAGGCCATCCGTTCCTTTAATGAGCGCGGTCATTCGGCCCAGAGGACTGGCCGAGTTATAATATATTCGAAGTGTGCTGGTTTCTTGGTGCTGCCTCATGGTCGAGAGAGCCTTGAAGGCTCCTTGCAAAAAGGCCATTCGCCGTCCCCTCGACCCGTGACAAGCAGCTCCGTAAGATTGCAAAGGCCGCCAAGGGCTTGCATCTGACCCCATGCCAAGCTTTGTCGGAGGTTGGCGCAGAGACGCCCGACCCTGTGCCCGACCTGCCGTCTCTGCCCCTCCGAACGGAGGAGGCTGATCTCGGGAGGGTGGAGGCTCGGGTGGAGCGGGCGGGGGACGGGACTTTTGATGATTCCGATTAAGTGATGGCCTCGGCGACGACGGCGGGTTTTACGTGGTCTCTGCCGTTGCCTGCTGCTGCCATGGCGGCAGCTCTACCTCGCCTTCAGCCTGCGGGCGTCCGTTACCTTGCGGACGCTCTCCAGTCGGCGCCCACACCTTTCATATTTTTTCTTAAATGATCGGATCTTGTGCATCGATGTATGTATACATATGTGTATGTATGTATGTACGTACGTATGTGTGTGTATGTATGTGTGTATGTGTGTATGTGTGTATGTGTGTATGTATGTATGTATGTCTGTCTGTCTGGCTGTCTGTCTGTCTGTCTGTCTGTCTGTCTGTCTGTCTGTCTGTCTGTCTGTCGGTAGGTATGTATGCAGGTAGGTAGGTAGGTAGGTGGGTAGCTAGGTAACTAGGTAGGTAGGTAGGTAGGTAGGTAGGTCGGTATGTATGTAGGTATACATATATGTATGTATTTAATGTGTTTAATGTATTTAATGTATGTATGTATGTCTGTATGTATGACTGTCTGTATGTATATATGTATGTTTATATGTATGTATGTATGTATGTATGTATGTATGTATGTATGTATGCATGCATGCATGCATGCATGCATGCATGCATGCATGCATGCATGTATGTATGTATGTATGTATGCGTACATATCTCAATATGCCCACCTTGTACACGGTTCCCCCTGGCTCCATAATGTCTGGGCGGAGGCCGCTGAAGACTGCCCACACTTCTGTCACGTGTCGCGTGTACTCTGAATTGCTTGTGTCCCCTTTGTTCCTCCATTCCTTCGTCCCTTCTGTCCCTTCTGTCCATGTATCAGTTCTGTTCCATTCACCCCTCTGTGTATCTTTTGTGCCCAGCTGTCCTTCTCGTGCAGTGCCTCCTCGTTTGTCTGTTCTGTCTGTTCTTGTTGTTCTTATTCTGATGTGGAAGCTGAGCCGTCGTGTGTCCATGTGTGTCTCGAAGTGGCGCGTGACGCCTGGCAACAGTGGCGAGGATGGTGTCGACCCAGGGTTCAGAGCGGGCTCGGAGTTGGAACTCTGCTGGGCGTCACAACATCTGGCTCTTTACTCTTCCTCTGTCTGCTGTTCTGCGCAGGCGGGAGGGGAGGGGGACGGTGCGGGCTGTGGGAGCCCTTTGTCCTCTTCCTCCTTCTGTTTCTTCTCTCCTTCCCTTCTCTCTGGCTTCCCTTCCTTCTGGTCGCGCCCGAACGATCTTCTCGCCCGCGGCCTGATCAGGCTGGTCGTCATGCCGTCGCAGGCGCCGTGGGGTGTTCAAGCAGGGCGCAGGGGAAAGCGAGGATGTGTGCCGAGAGCCCTGGCGTCCTGAACAGCATGTGTTGTGCAGTTTCTGGTATACACACATATATGTATACATACGCACCTGGCAGCCGCCATAACGCAGGTAGTCAGTGAAGCGTCCTCGGGTCCCTCAGAGTCCTCATCTGCACAGATGATCCTAGGGGCCCGCGCCCACAGTGGCTGGATTACGACAGCCTTGCGGCCGGTGCCGCCGACCTTTGAAAAGAGACGACGACGACGACAACGGCGGCGGCGGCAACGACGACGACGCTGACGTGGGCCAGAGTCCTCAGGGATGGTTCTTGGGGTCCCTTTCGAAGTCTCTCGGGGGCCTCTGGGGAGGAATTTTTTGGGCCTCTTGGGAGCCTTTTTAGGGCCTCTTGGGAGCCTCTTGGGCGCCTCTTCGGGCTTTCCAGGGACTTCTTGTGGGCCTCTTGGGGCCTCTTGGGAACCACTTGGGGCCTCCTGGGGGCCATTTGTTGCCGAGGACTCGAAGTGTCCGTTCGGGTCCTCCGTCTGGGCTTGGAGCCGTCTTGGAGGCCCCCCGCGCTCGGCTGAAGCAGCTGAAGCGCCGCGGTGGCAGCGGCGCCACCACCGTGTTCTGCTAGGAGGAGCTTCTTTCGAGGCCGCGCGCTCCTCCTCCTCCTCCTCCTCCTCCTCCTCCTCCTCCCCCTCCTCCTCCTCCTCCTCCTCCTCCTCCTCCTCCTCCTCCTCCTCCTCCTCCTCCTCCTCCTCCTCCTCCGTGTGACCGTCGCAGAAGACGGGTGTGTTCGGCGCTGAGGCGAGAGCCCTGCTCTGAAGACGAGCCGCACTCCCCTTCCGTGTGCCTGTGGAACGTCGAAGATTGTGCGCTGCACTCCAGTTTATTTGCAGGCAGTTTCGACCTTCAATATATAATGACTTATGAGGGGGAGCAGCGCTGCAGTGACGATTCGGACGAGCAACGTCTAACGAGGCCAGACTTGGCCACGGAGTCAGGCTAGACATGTCGTTGCACAGGCGATTTTTTTCTAGTAAGGCCGTTTCTTTCGAATCAGTGCTGGGACATATTGGGGGCTCAGGGACTGAGGGAGGGAAGAGTGAGGAGGTCGAATACAGAAAGGCAGGGACGTGGAACATGGCGATGAACAAAAGGTGAGGAGAAGAGAGCACTAGCGAGGAGGAACTTGGTGGACGGAGAGCGTATCGCCGTGAGATGATGAGCATGAGGAAGATGAGGAGGTCGGGTGCGCACGAGGAATAGTAGTTGGTGGAGGAGTTGGACGATAGCAACAATCAACACGAAGATGGCGATGAATAAGATGGTGATGATGCTGCTGCTGATGACGAGGAGGACGAGGAGGACGAGGAGGACGAGGAGGAGGAGGATGATGCTGATGATGCTGATGCTGATGATGATGAGGACGATGGGCCATTATGATGATGATTATGATGATGATAGTGGCTGTGGAGGTGATGCTGATGCTGATGCTGATGAGGTTGTTGATGATGATGGTGGTGGTGCTGATGATTGTGGTGACTATTATGATGATGAGGATGACGACGGCGAGGATGATGATGATGGTGGCGGTGGTGGTTGTTTTGGTAATGATGATGGTGATATTGATGATGCTGACGATGCCGATGATGAGGATGCTGATGATCATGATGCTGATCATGGTAATGATGATGATAATGCTGATGCTTATCATGACGATGATGATTATGCTCATGATGCGGATGAATCTGATGATGATGCTGATGATGGTGAGGATGACGATGATGACGATGATGATGATGCTGATGATGATGCTGCTGATGATGCTGCTACTGATGATGCTGATGATGCTGGTGCTGCTACTGATTCTGATGATTATGATGATGGTGATGGTTATACTGATGATGACGATGCTGATGATGCTGATGCTGCTGATGATGATGATGATGTTGCTGCTGCTGCTGATCACGATGATGTTGACGATGGATGGTGATGGCGATGATGATGATGATGATGCTGCTGATGCTGATGATGCTTATGATGATGCTGATGATGGTGAGGCTGATGACGATACCGATGATGTCTTGTGGATGATGATGTTGATGAGGATGCTGATGATTCTGATGCTGATGATGACGATGCTGCTGATGATGATGCTGATGATGATGACGATTCTGATGCTGTCGATGCTGATGATGCTGCTG